AAACAGTGCTTTATTTGGGCACAGGAGCCATGGTCTCATACTGTAATGGGAGAACTTTATTGGATGCTAATCTAATATCTAAGATTGGGTTCATCTGCTCTTCTTTCTTGCCATTTATGGTAAAAATTTTGCTGCCAGAGCATCATAAATGTTTTTCTTCTTGTTTTTAGTCCCCTCCCAATTACATTTTCATGAAATAGGAGTAGAGGTTACAAGATAATTATCGATTCTCTYCTCCCACTTTTAGCAACACCCCTGCTTTCTTTACACAGGTATGTCTGAACATGGCTGCTGACTGAAAATTCAATATGTGATTTTTAATGCCACTTTGGGTTTTTTTCAAGTTTCATGTTTTTCTGAGGCATTGCCAATGGGTTGCCTTAGAATACAGAATTCCAGCATAAAATCAAAATCTCAAGGAAATTATGTCACTAAAATACTGCTATTAAGAGGAGGGAAAGCTGGAGGAAATACCAGACAGTGATGTAGAAACATCAAAATTCGATGTCAAAGCCATAATGCCTTGAAGCCTTCTGGCCTGTAGGGTGACTGCAAACTTGTCAGTCATTGAGAGCTTTATATTCATCTCCATGTGTTAATCTAATGTGTTAATCTGGTTGGTTCAAAATTAGGTTTAATTGCAATGGTTGCATGTGCTCTTCCAATATCAGACAGACCAGCTGACAAATATCCTTTATTGTCTCCTCTGGTGAGGGCCACATTCAGTGACAAGCAAATCTCCTAGAAAAACCAATTTCATTTTTTTTTTTTTTTGTGTGTGTGTGTGTGTGCCTGGAAAAAATTATGCATTGAGTGACATGACTGTTTCTCCTTTTCCTGGTCTCTCTTGCTCCCTTGGCCCAAGCCAGTTGCTAGAGATTTGTTCTGCTACAGTAGGCCTCTGATAAGCAAACTCATGTCCCATTGTTGGTGGTTTTCAAGTGTTCTTAGTCCTGGGATTATTCTAAGGGGACTYTGTGCCAAATGTAATGTCTCATCCAGAGGAACTCACCTCCAGTTTTCTAGCTCTGGAGCTTTTTCATTTTCACTTAGGGTTTACCTATTTCTTTGGCAAACAAGGCCCAGCCAGGGGTATGAAGAGAACATCCTTTGGGGACTTTAATGCATACTTCCTGTGAATATATTAAAGAAGGAATTTTTCATGGAAGGAGTATCTCAAAATGCTTCGTTTGCTGGAATTTCCAAGACCCAAAATGTAATGGAAGGATCTGTCCACCATTTTATGAGATATTTATAGTATAAATGTTGGAGACCTTTTGCTATGGTGAGATGAGCATTTTCCTGATATGCCCTGTAGGGTAAGGGGTCATCCTGGAAGTGAATGTGATCTTTCTTGGGCGGGGGTGGGATGAGGGAGAACCATCCAGAAATCACTCCTGGGAAGAAGCTGGACCTCCTAAGTCCAGGACTTCAGCCTTTCTCTGGGCCTCAGTTTGGTGAGTCTGAATTTAAGGAATTTGAGAGAACTTCAGGGGACATTTGCTTCTACCCTGTTGAGTTGATTTTCCTGTTCCATGAGTGAGAATCCCTGACTCTCTCACGTTCTGGAGGCCCAGTTTAGAAAAAGAATACTCAGCTGAGACTCTTTAGTGATATTTGGAACCTCCTTATGATTTTCTGAGGAGCATCCTCTCTTGGTCCTAAGGATATTGGGTCAGAGGTGATAAGCCAGCCCTGAAAAAGATGGGTTGAGAGGGGTGTGAGGAAGCTCCTGGAGGCACAGCAGCCTAAGAGCGTTCAAGTCTTGGGACAGTAATAAGAACTTGTTCCATCTGGTGGAGTGCCTCTCATTTCATCGTCATCATGAATGACTTCCTGGACTCTCCTGTCAGCCTCACTAGTGGTGTCCCTACTCTGGCCTTCAGTTCACAGAATATGCACTAGGGACAGGGCATGAGCTTTCCCAGGATGGTGGCTAATTTTACATAATCGTTTAACCCTGGGAATCATCTCATTAAAAAATTTCATGAGTCTCCCAAGGCCCTCTTCAGGTCCTTCTTTGGCATGAAGCTGCCCCTGGTATCTCCCTCTCCAGAATGCAAAGCTTTTTCTCCAGTGTTCCTTTTGGCAATGAATCACGCACATGTTTTGTGACATATTCCAGTCATGATTTTATGGTGAGCATAATACACAATTCACTTATTCAGCGTTGCTAATTTTGATGTATGGCAGACATCTCTGCATGATGAATCTCTGGAATATTAACTCTACTCTGCACGATGGCTTTGATTTGGGCAGATGTTTTTATCTTTCACCCGTGTCCATCTGCTTTCCATGAAGGGAATTTGGCTGACCTTCAAAGGATGATCATTGACTTCCATTGAAAGCCAATGGAAGTGACATCATTATCGAATTTTTTAAAGTAAAAATGGAAGATAATTAAACGCAGCACAGTAGTTGTAAAACAGATTTCATCGTTACATATCACTTCATAAAGCAAGCATAATTCCTGGTCCTCCACATGACATTCTTTGGAGCATTTTACCACAGAATGATGACTCCCTGACAACTCAAGCAGGAGATATTTAGACCTACCTGTGCTAAGAATAAGGTGAAAATTAAACATCCTCAGAAAGTTCGCTGGATGAAATAGTGTACCCTTAGAATAAAACACATGCTGCTCTAGGTATAGTCAGATGAAACAAATGTGTGAAATCTACCAGGGGGACTTTTCTTCTTTAGAAAATAAATGTATTGCTCAGACAGTACCAATACATTAATGTGTGAGAACAGTTTTGTTATTATGGCTATCCTGAAACTCAAATAGCCAAACAGCCTGAAGGCTACTTATGCAGCCCAATGGTGGCTTATCATTTGACATTCAGAAACCTTTCTCATTTTGCTGGATCTGGTCCAAAAGTGTGGGTGGGAACACCCTATTTACATGGCTTACGGACAATCTGGGGGAATAATTCTAAAATCTGAGAATTTTATCTGAGACTAGGTTGCTAACTTAATTACCAAAGGAGATATTCTTACTAGAGAAATATCATCAAATTATCATGTTCTATTGTTTATATATTTCACAGTAAAATGATCCAATCTCGCCTGGCTGTACAGTAGGAGGGTTAGAATCATTATCTAATGTATACTTTGATGTATACTCTTCTAAAATATTTATCAACTTCATTCAGGGACTCCTACCTTTCCTCCATTCCATGATTCAAGTGTTTGCAGGGAGACTTCAGAAAAAAAGGCAGCTTGCAGTAATATAAAAAATGACTAGACTATAATTCTGGAGAGTCAGCTTCTTTTTTCTGTTCAACCAATTTAGTCCTGTGTGCTTGCAGATAGTGCTACTGGCTCACAGAAATGTGATAATTAATGACTTTATATTTAAGAAGGGCTTAGTAGCTTAGTACTCTGGTATGTGGACCTTTTCAAGCAGATAATTTTAGGCAGAAATAACATAGCTTGTCATTTGTTAGGCCTTGTGTTCAGTAAAAAGTTCAGCCCTAAGAATTTTGCCTACCTTAACAAGAAAGGTCCCTCCCTCTCTGTGTGAATTGCATGCATTTTTACTGGTTGTTGGGTCACAGGAAGCTTGCCACTCTCTTTCAGTTTGCAAATAAAGTGCATCTTAGATTTCCTTATCTTTAAACAAGTGAAGATAAATTAGGTTATAAGTGGAAGAATGTTCAGGGGTTGAGAACATCAATTCGGCTCTTGGCAGGTGTGAGTCTAAAAGGCTTCTTTGTAGAACAGAAAGTTACCACCAGTTGTGCACCTGCTCCCTAGAAAAGGGACCAGGGATCAAAGGCTGCCTTAGGAGAACTAACTCAATACATGTTGGAAGTGGCTTTGTTTCTTCTTCCTAATAGGTGGCACGTCTGTGCACCTAACAGGAGACAGTGTGTATGAATGGGCTTGGAGAAAGTAAAATGGCTAACCACATGCATGATGTAGGATCACTTAGACAGTGGCAAACAAACTCAGTACCAGCAGAGATGTTCTGCGTGGTTTGTGGTTGCGAGAGGCAGCAGAGAAAATGCAGAGACCTTGTTCTCCTCTCATGTAACAGTTGACCTTTTCCTGCAACAGATAAAGAGTATAACAAGAGTCTGAATATGATCAATAATAATTAAGATAGGGAAGGGGTGGAAGGAGCCTTGTTAACACTAACTACCAATTCTGAGCTCATCAGACTTAGCCTCACTGACAAAATGTAGAAGAGGTTGGGAAGTCTATTGGGAACTGGACGTAGTGGGGTGTGGTCCAATAGCAAAGGAAGACTGGGGAAGCCATGGGGTAAAGACATACAGTTGGAAAGCACTCAATGCTCCGGGGAATGTTTCCTCCTCTCCTTGGTTAGCTGTTCTCAGTGCATCTCACCCACAGTTCAAAAGTTATTTCAGGTGATCAGATAATAAAAGTTCAAGAACTCCGAGCCCGGGGAAAGAATCACTGAGATGGTTGGGAGGGGAAGTCCTTTCAGGGATACATCTCACAGAGAAGTAGAAGTTTCTGAGAGAGAACTGGCAATTATTGTGTGCAAGTATTTTCTTTGGCAGGGAAGGAGTAGTTGACAAGACAAGAATCTGTGTTTCCAGTTCTTGTTTCCTTAATCAACACCCTCAGGGCATCTCAGAGGCTGAGGTAAAGGGAAGTCTCTCTACTGCCTTCCTTGAGGACAAATCTTTATCCTACAGGATGAGATGGGTTTGTAAGAATCTGCTGTGGAGGGTGTTCAAGGGAGGAGATGCACTGAAATGAGCACTGAGAAGTTGATAATCATAATTAAAAAAAAAATTCTGATCTCACATGTTCATTTCTCCTAAAATTGAGGGCAGGTGCTTCAAAATCTTCAAATGATTAATTTGGAATTAATCAAAATTACAGAATGGATGGAAATAATTTCTTACCTTGTTTTAAAGGTTCAGGAACCTTTCAGAGAAGGAATTTTCCTAGCTGGACTTAAAGAAAATATTCTTATTCTCTTATGTTCTTGTTTATTATAAACAAGCAAGTTCATTTTAACATTTACTCTTTATTGTGTTGTATGAAGTACCTAAGTAATGCAAGTATGTACTGTACTAAAATACTCATATTTCCAAATAGCATTACGTGGTGTAGCCCACAGTCTCTGCAGAAGCATCATGAGTAACTGTGCCTTTACACTTTAAAATCCGTTGTTGGCTGCTGTTAGAAGTATGGTAACAGACGAAGGAAAAAAAAAAAAAAGCCAAGAATGAATATGCTTGTCTAAACTCACACATACACAGCTTACAATGGAACCCTAATGGAAACAAGTCAAATGACATTTGATGTGTTATCTATAAAATGTAGACTCTGCAATAAAAAGCCAAAGGCACATAAAAATATATTTTAACTTTAAAAATAACTTAGTTACAGTAATACCTTGCTTGTGTCTTACCAACATGTAGCTGACAGTCAAAATTTTGCAATATAGATATAATATATAAGGGATATATAAGAACTACAAGAAAATCCCCCAAACCCATAAAATTGCTCAAATGTGAAAACAGAGAAAAGTTTTAACACTGGAGAATTTGCTATCATGAGCCCAAACAATATCATATACAAAAGAGTCTAGAAAAAAAGGCTTAGGTGTTAAAATTTGGACTTTCTCTTAACTCATAAACTGTTGGAGTACTGTGAAGTTTCTTAGTGTGACTTGCTCAGCTCTCCATAGCTAGTGCCAATCCTGGCCAAGGCAGATTTCTTATGCGTCTGCAAACCAAAAAAAATGTTAGCTGAACATCAATCAGCAGTGCCCGCCATAAATGGGTTCTGACTCATTTCCTCTTTTTGCCAGGACAGGGTTTTTGTTGTTGCTTTTTCTAAACTGTTTTTGCAAACAGGGCATAACAGGTAAAAAAATATTTTGTAGGAACAATTATTTTAGAAAACGCATCACGTAACTGCAAAAAAAAACAGCCAGGGAAGCTCTTCTCTTCAACTGTGGTTAGCTGAGTTTCTGTTTTTTTGTTTATTTTGGTACCTTTTACCCCAAAGGAAAAGAGCTGGCATCCTGTTACTTATTTTTATCCATGACATTCAGCACCTCATCCAAAAGCGAGGGCCCAAGATCCAGCTGGAGGGAGAGGAGGGAACCTGTGAGGTCAGAGAGGGACTCCTGGGATTTGGTCTTTCCCTTCCCCTGCTCGCATGGGGAGGGATGGTCAAACATGTCCTCGGCCGGCCAGTCGGCATACTGTTCGGACAGGCTGGAGGAGTGGCTGTCCCTGCCCTGGCTGGACTGCGATGCTGAGCCACTGGAGCCCCACGAGGCATCTCCCTGGTGGATGGTCCCATTCTCCAGCACATGGCTTTTCTCCTGAGCCTTCTCCTCCATGACGGGCTCGCAGCTGAGCCTGGGCAGCTTCGGTGGCCCAAAGGACTCCTGTTTGGAATTAAATGTCACCGGTGACAATAAGGGCAACATAAGAGCTTGGGACCCTCCGATGGTGGGGAGGGAGATGGCGTTTTTGAGCACGGGGGAGGGCGTTTCGGAGAACACGGAGTCCGAGGTGCTGTTGGCCCGCAGGAACTCGTAGTGCGCGGGCAGCTGGCCCGAGCGGGCCTTCTCCTGGTTGCCAGGCAGAAGCTCGTAGTTCCCCTGAAGGAAGGAAATGTCCCCGAAGACGTCGTGCTGGCCCTCTTTGCCGATGTGAATGGTGTGGCGAAAGTCTCCCAGGGGGGGACTAATCATGTCAGGAGACAAGATGTCCCTCAGCTTGAACTTCTTCCCTTTCTTGTTGTTGGCAGCTTTAAGGTAGATCGGGGTCTTGGCTGGCATTTTGGAATTTGAGAATTGTCTATTTCACCAAAGGGGAAAGGGGCCACTCTCTGCACAGATGTTCAACGTTCCCCCGAAGTCCTTCTGGCTAGGAACTGTCACATCATTTTCCTTGAGTGGCTCAGAAGTGGCTCTGAGATGAAATGGGGTCCGAGACACCTGGTTGAGCTCACGGCCACGTGGGGCTTCCTGGAGAGGGGGTTACATCATCCAATCCCTTCCAGGGCGAGGGGAGACCTGGAGAAGAAACCAAAGTGGTTTTAATCTCTGGATGCTTCAGGGTTCACTCTGGCCTGTACACAATGGCAGGGCCACTTTCCACCTACAGCCCAACTTTATCTTGTTTCCTTCCTCTAAGCAGAATAACAACTTTTAATCTTAGTAAGGGATTTATTAATCTCAGTTGACTTAGTTTCCTGAAAACGGAAAAAAAAAAAAAAGAGAATGAGGGACTTAAAAACTGTAAAACTATGACATCAATGCCTTGGTAAATTAATTTTTTAGTTATACATAATATTAGGCTTCATTTGACATAATTATGAAAGGAGGGAATATAATTTGCCCTAATTCAATCCCCAATACTTCCCGTTTCCCTTTCCTCTTCCTCCCCCTGTTCCCTTCCCTCCACCCTACTGATCTTTCTGCTATTTATAGTTCTTCTTTTTTCTTTTTTTCACTAGTGTCTTCCAGATATACATAAAGGTGAGATTTACTGTGGAATATTCACATGTATACATAGGAAGGTTAGGTCAGATTCATACCACTGTTCTTCCATTTTTCTATCCCTTGTCTTTGTCCCCTCAATCCCCTTCCTCTATTCYACTGATCTCTCTTCTATTTTGGACATATTTAAATATGGCTATGGACACAATTTTCTGAACATGTCTAAGATTTTAGTYCTTTCTTTCTATTCTAAGAAGAAAGTCTATGATGATGAAACTTATTAAGTATATTTTCTTTTTTGTGCTTTGGTGTACGCACAGTAGCAACGCTGACAGTACTTTTTTTTGTTGACTTCTGTATATAAATAAAACTAATGCAATCAAACAAACAGTCTAACAGGAAAGAGGCTATATTACGGTTTGGATATAAGGTACACCCCTCCACCAAAAGCTCATATCAGGCAATACAGCAATGTTCAGAGGTGAAATGATCAGATTTTAAAAGCTGAAACCTAATTGGTGGAGCAATTCATTTGCTGGACTAATCATCTGAAGGCTGTACTGCATAGCAAGTGGGGCCTGGCTGGAGTAAGAAGGTCACCAGGGACATGACTTTGGGGTTTATATKTTGTCCCTGGCACCTCTCTCTCGCTCTCTTTGCTTCCCAGCTGCCATGAGCTGAGTAATGTCCCTCTGCCACGCCCTTCCACCATGGTGGGGGTTCTGCCTTACCTCGGCTCAGAGCAAGAGAGTCAACTGACCACAGACTGAACCTCTGAAACTGTGAGCCCAAATCAACTTTTCCGCCTCTACGCTGTTCCTGTCAGGTATTTTGGTCATGTTAACAAAAAGCTAACACAAACTGAAGTGTTAGTGACAGTGACTATTATGTAGGTGTCCAATAAAATCTTCTTAAGATGCATCCCTATAGATGAGAAAATGGAAATTAGAAGAAAAAAATGACCCTTTTTCAATAATATAATCAAAAGAGCTAGAGTTGGAATCAAGCTGTGGCAGAGTACTGAGCTGACAAGGATTTGAGGATTTGAAGATATTTTGAGGTGGAAAGAACAAAACTGCTCCATTTCAAAGAAAATAAAAACCATTGTGATTATATAAAATAACTGGGCCTTCACTTGGAAACATTATTGGTAAGGCTTGGCTCTCTCCCTGGGGTAGGAATAATTCTAAGAAAACCCTGTGATCTGCCTGCTGATATTAATGCCTCTGTGGGTGGAACCTACGACTTCTTTCTGTACAAAATAGTATGGTAAAGGAGATATGCCATGCCCCAGTTAGGTTACACTACAAGAAGAACYCATCTGAGCTGATGGGAGAGAGACCGCCATTGCTGATTTTGAAGAAGTAAGCTGTCGTGCTATGACAGGCCCCTTAGATGAATTCTGACAATGATATTAGAGAACATGTCATTCCCCAGTCAAGTGTCAGATGAGACATAGCCCTGGCCCACAGAAACTGTAAGATAACATGAGATAACAAATAGGGGCTGTTGTAAGCCACTAGGTCTGTAGTAATTTGTTACCAGCATAGAAAACACAATCTCCCTGGCCATACAACATGATAAGATTAGAAGAGAAGAGCTACATGAAGGCTTTGGGGGATGTCAGGCCTTCATTTACTGAAGAGAAACTCTTATCTCTTGAAAATAATCTTTCGACTCTTCAGCTGCCTCAGTTGACATGGAGAGGCTAAATTCTTCTCCATCTTTGTTGCAACTTCTCCCATATGGCTTTCCAGTCTTGGCAGCAGAGCCTGCCAATAAATATTCTGAGGGTTGGTTAGATGGTGGCTTGAAGAGAGCCACATTTGTTTTGTAGCAGCTGGAGGCTGTCTGCATCTGCTCCACATTTCTTTCCTTTCAGCAAGAGTTTTAAATTGACTTGCCAGTGGCAGGTGACAAGAACGGTGCTCCACCACCCACTGGCAAAGGTAACAACTAGCTCTGTTAGGAAAGTGGCCTGCCCAGGGTGCAGCAGGCTGTCCAGCAACTAGGCCTGAGAAAGCTGAGCTTGATGAGCTAGACACCCAGTCCCASCCTGGCTCTGGGTGTGCAGAGGCCGGGGCAGCAGCAGGAATGTATGCTCCCACTCTGAATGGGCTGACCACAGAGCTGCCAAACAAGACAGGATCATAGTCCTGGTGTTAATTTTAGCTCTGATTTGGGTCTTGTCCCAGTAACACAAGTTGAGACCTTGGGTCTTCCTGCTAAAACATCAGAACTTCCTGCCTGTTGAAATGCTCAATACTGGGTCCCAGCCTAGGATTCCTGGTACCACTGTCCTGCTCTCTGGGCACAGGATAGGTGACTGCCTGCAGGAGCCAAGACTGCAGGAGGTGGTGAGCAGCTCTGAAGAACAGCTGCGCATGGGAGCAGTGGTCCTCAGCACACAAGGCTGGACGCAGCTGCTGTGGAGACACTGCGACTCAGGGCCACACAAGGGCTGCTCGTGGCCAGCTGGTGAAGCTGGGTTACTCAAGGCTGGGACCTGGGAGAGGAGCTTCCAAATAAGTTTTTAAAAATCCCATGACTATGTAGCCAGAGAGCAGTTCTTTGCCCCTCTGCTTGGGTCGCTCACACCAGCCCTTTAACTGGAAAAGGATCTGGGATGGTGAGGACGAGGAGGGGATGCTGCTCTCCTGGGAGGCACAGGGGATGAGCTCTGCAGCCCTCAGGCAGAGGCTCCTGCAGCTTAGCAAGAGTTGCATTTTATGTTAGTGGCAGGAAGACAAAGGTTGGAGGGACATGGCTGAAAGCAAAGGAAAAGGTAAGAGAGCTTAGAAGCTGTAGGTGGTGATTCTGCAGAGTTTTTTCTTTCTTTTCTTTGCCTTCTTCTTTCTTTCTTTCTTTCTTTTTTTTTTTTTTTTGGACTACTTTCCATAGTTTTTACTGCCTGACTTCTGGGCTTCTAGGACTTTAAAAATAATAATTTATATTTAATGTCTACTCTGTGCCATTCCTAAGAGCTCCCCAATACATCTGAAGTTAAAAAAAAAAAAAGGAATTCTGGGCAAATATGTCAGGCTTGCAACTTTAAATGAGTTGATGTCTGTGATGTTGCGGAAACATCTGGGAGCTCTGACCTAGCCCCACTCTATCTTATCTGCTATCTATCCTCCTCTCAGCTGGAGGCACCCAGTCTTCCTCTTAGGAGAGGCGATCCAGTGCTGATGTCTCTTACTGACCACTTCCCCCTCTCCTTCCTGAACACTCTGGGCTCCCAGCTTATCAGCCAGTGGACCCCTACAAAGCTCGATCAGTTTTCCTCTTTTCTTTTCCAAGATGACTGCTCTTTTAACACCACCTCTGCCATGGCTTATGCAGCAACCTAATGAGGTGGCTTATCCACTAGTAAAAGGGACAGATCGTGGAGAGGGCATGTCAGTCTCGCAGGAGCCAGCAGCACCTTTGTATGACAGAGCAGCCTGGAAGTCAGGCACTGTTCCAACCTTTGAAGTGGAACCCAGGAGGATGCAGTTTCTAGTATATTAATTTCCTGATTTTACAAATGAGACACTACTGAGGCACAGAAGTCAAGTCATCCTGCCAAGGTCACATGCTATCAAGCACTAAGCCAGGAGGCTGGGCTCTGGGGTTTAGATCTTGACCTGTCATTGAATGAGCACACTCTCTGAGAATTCAATGAGCCCAAATCATGAAGGGGTCACATTTCAAAGCCTGTTTAAGACACAACTGTGTGGCAATGCCCTGGGCTGATGAGGACCAGGAACCCTCCTCCCCTGCCACACACTGACAGCAGAAGCCTGAACAGGTCCAACTTCAATGGAAGACAGTTTGGCAATATCTATAAAAACTGCCAATCATGTGCTTTCTGATCCCAGATTCCCTAATAGGGACTTATTCCACTTACATATATGGGGAAAAAAGTACAGAGTGTTCAAACCAGCACAGTTTATAACAGCCGAGAGATGGAAACAACCTAACTGTCCACCTTCAGAGGGCTGGTTAAATAAATTAAGTATATCCATGCAAATGAATACTAATTACATCTCATTAAACGATGAAGTTTTTTTTCTTTTTTTAAAGATATTTTATTTTTTTTAAGAGAGAGAGAGG